TAGTTACTATGCAATCATCCCCTTTCACATGGTTGTTTTATGTAAAAAAAGAATCTGTAATTTCAACAAGATAAGTTTTGATGTTACCCTTCCATGCCTTAAACATAACTTATATTGGTGTTGAAGTTGGTCAGCAGGTGCTTGTTGAAGGTGTTTAATACAGATAACAGCCAGTAAATACTTTCCACAAAAGTATTGCCCCTTACACAGCAGGTAGCATTCTTCTGTTTCATCATGAACTATCCAAAGTACTAATTCTGAAATATGTATTGTGCATATTATACAAAATAAATTTTGTTTTGTTTGCAAAACATTTATCAGTGCCAAATCAGTATAAATAAAAAAATAAACAAAGTCAGGCGGCCTAACCCGCTCAGCCACCGGAGCTTACATAAAAGTCAGACAACTGGTAGCCTACACCACAGACTTTGTGTACCCCGCTGACAAGTGTAAATCGGCACGGCTCCCACGGCCGAAAGCTATGAATACACATTGCCATTTAGAAAGTTGTCAAATGTAACATATGTTACTGTGTACTGGCGATTAGATGTCTGACTCCCAGATGGGACTCAACCCAACAAAAGTACTAAAATCTGTCCTTTACTGAGAAAGTGTAATCCCAAATATAGCACGTTACATTGGAAGGCTTTGTAAATGGCATTGTGTATTCACAGTGTAACACAAAGTTGGTTTTGATTTGAGCTTAAGTTCTGAACAAGGACAAACTATCTAAACAACTGACCAAAATAAGCAACTTTAGGTTCAAACTCAGCATAGATTCAATCAAACAAATGTAATTTAATTCAGTGCTTTAATGTTGCCCTATTCAGGGTACACACATTTGTAAAACAAATAAATAAAATGATCAAGAATGATATATCTATTAATAAATAAATGAAATGTGCTTCAACATGGGTCAATAAATACAAAGAAAATCAAAAACATTAATCTGTAAACCTTGCATAATGTTCTGATGGTGTAGAATGTTCTGATGGTGTAGAATGTTCTAATGGTGTAGAATGTTCTGATGGTGTAGAATGTTCTGATGGTGTAGAATGTTCTGATGGTGTAGAATGTTCTGATGGTGTAGAATGTTCTGATGGTGTAGAATGTTCTGATGGTGTAGAATGTTCTGATGGTGTAATGTTCTGATGGTAGAATGTTCTGATGGTAGAATGTTCTGATGGTGTAGAATGTTCTGATGGTGTAGAATGTTCTGATGGTGTAGAATGTCCAAATGGTGATCAAGACTGTTAAACTGTGTACAACCAAAGCAGAAGTCAATTAAAGGAAGGCACGACCAAGCTCAAAACTGGAAATTGTTTCAAGAATCTAACTAATGGACCTATTAAATAAGTTTAAAAAGACCTCAAACCACCATATCATCAGTAAGATGAGTTGCCCATTGTTCAGAAACATACAAAGTAGCCATTACAACATAGTGTAAATTAGTTCAGGACAAGTGGAATGACTGAATGGAGACATGCTAAAATCACTGGACAATCCAGACATATGACGTCCATCCAGGCCAACAATTTAATAGTGTCTACGAATTTTCACTCAAAAGCTTTCTCCTTAACTGCACACCAAATGTGATTTGGCAGTATAACCATTGAAAACAAACTAAATATTTCAGTTGCAACCCTACAGCAAAACTATTGCAGATAAATTAGGTGATGTGATAATGCAGGATTTCACTTGTGTGTATGTAAATTGTGTACATTCTTTGTGGCAGAAGTACCCATTCCTAATGATCTCCAAGCATACAAAGGCATGCACAAAGTGCCAGAATATAGTGCTACACCAAATGTGCTGAAAATCTAACAATCATAAAAATGGTAAGAATTTCCACTGTAAAAGAGGGCCTTAATTTCAGAGTGTTTTACGTTACTGTGATGTGCAGTGTTACTTGATACTGTGTAGTTTTACACCTCTATTTATGCAAGAGCAAAATGTAGCAGCAATAAGCATCTTTCCTGCGTCATCTCTGTCAGAGATGAAAGCGCAAGTCTTTTTGTTATTGGTCGGCCAGCTATGGCAGCAGTCATCCTAGTGAAGCCATTACATATAAGTACAGCGATCTGATCTTCCATCACCAAGGACATATCATGTTCCACACCAGATGGAACCGCGATGGAACCGCGATGAAACCAATAAGTAGGGTTGGCCATGTTTAAACAAAGTTTTGACATGGGTTATTGGACACTTTTCACTCAAGGAAGGTGGGCAATTTAGCTTAGTGACACTGATGATCAGTTTTGACGTGATGCTTTATGTAAAGGTCTCAAATAAGAACCAAGGAATTAAAACCAGTTTGTGAAGTAAGTCTAAGAACTTAAAACATTAAGTAGCAGTAGACATTTGTGCAGGATTTCACTTTCAGGTTGAATGTCCCGACATGTTCCACACAACATCATTTTGCCAAGGCAGCCATTTTGAATTTCTGACACAATATGACTAGAGGTATTTGGAACATGCACAACTCACAGGGCATCAAACTTCTCCAGCCCCAAGCAACATCATATGCACATTTTTGAGATAAATATATCAAGGGCCTCAGGCAATCTGAATGGCATTATAAAGAAGTTACAATAAATCTTCTCCCTTGCTCAGTAAATGATTCTCTGCTATTTTTATCAGCATGCCCAAGGTGGAGATTACATCATGACACCGTGATTGGGTAATCTTCAGTATCAAATGGCAAGGAAGGATAAGAGCCATATTCACCACCTAACCTGCATGGTTTAAAAATCATGCATTAGAAATTATATTATTGTTTAGATATGTTCACATAAATGAAAACTGGACTAAACTCAATTCAACAATTGCCTGCTTCGCAACACTACATGTATAGATAAGGACAGTGGCTGGTTTTAGAGGCTTTCATGAAGGGTCTCTCTAACACTGTTACACTTTTATTTGTCTTTGACCAAAGACTGTACTCAAAGATGTACATGAAAACATTACAAGTGTATGGTAAAAGATTCATGTTGGGCTACAGACATATTTCAGCTATGTGTGGACTTGAACAAGTCAAAAGTCCACAATTTGCAAGAATAAAAAACAAAAAGCTAATTGTCTTCATTTGAACATGGCTGATGTTCACCGCAAAATTTCAAAGTTTCGGGAAGCTGAAAACTTGACATTTTCAATAGGTAAAAATACTCATCTCATTCATTCTGTAAGAAGTTTGGAATTAGAATTGATCACCTATGGTATATGTTACAGTGTATTAGTCACATAGGAAATATTTACAATGTAGTTTGGGGTGTAATATGTTAATAAAATAGGTACAAAAATAATACATCAACAAATATTGCAACGCATGGTGAATTTTCATCTGGAAAAAGTGAAAATTCATACACACATATACATCATGTTCATATATATATGTTGTAATTGTTTGAGGGGTTATCCTAACTGCACCAAGCAGATATTCGACCCTAAGTCAACATCAAATATCATTAACATTCCCAAAATAGAATGATGCATTTCCTAATTTAAGCTTATAAAAATATAACAAATTAGCTACTGTTACATCAGGTAGATATGACCTGTATTTCCCTGATAACAGGGAACATAAGTACGAACAGACTGTAATACATGTACATAATACTTATTGCACTCAATGCAATGTTAAAGTACATTTTTCTTAATAGGCCTTCCTCTACAATTAAAATACGAAATTTGAAGAAATATTTATTTTTTAACAAAACAACTACTTTCCCCCCAATTATTCGCCCATGAGGGCCATTTAAAATGAAAACATCTGCTGAAAACCAACTAGGTGATACATCTCCTAGAGATGTGTACATGTTGAAAGTGGACTGAAACACCACCGCACCACATTCTGTCATAGATTTAACTGATACAATCACGGTGAACAGAAGAAATATATATATCAGTGTAACAAGTTTGGTCAACATAAATTAAGGTAGTGATTATCTGTCGCATCGATGCAAGAAATACATTTGGAAAACTTCATGACATTATCAACATTCCATGTACGCATGGCTCATCTTGTGAAACATAATGATAATAATCAAAAGAACACACTGAGGGTGTCAGTCCTATGTCAGTGAGTGAGTGAGTGAGTGAGTGAGTTGGGTTTGGTTTTACGCCACTTTTAGCAATATTCCATCAATATCACGGCAGGGGACACCAGAAATGGGCTTCACACATTGTGCCCATGTGGGGAATCGAACCTGGGCCTTCAGCATGACGAGCGAACGCTTTAACCACTAGGCTACCCCACAGCCCCCCAGGTGCAGATGAAAGGGTGTCAACCCCCTTTAGGAATCAAGGATATGGCAGTGCAGATGAATGCCATGAAATGCATATCTGGTACTTGGATGAAAGTATTGGAATCGATTTCTCTCATTTCTTGTGATAAATCAAACAAATATTTAATCCTGATTTTCAGAGCATGGTCGTCATGCATTCTACGTGAAAATCCCAGTATAATTCCCAAATACTGATACGAAGAATTCTTTAACTGAGTTAGTGGTACTGTGGATGCCCAGAGAGGGCGACACCTTCAGTTACAATACCATCTGAAACAGTGCGAAATAGTTTCCAAATTTTGCTAGCCAGCCAGACTAGCTATGCCTGAAAGTTACTAGCCCACAAAATAACTCTGCTGCTAATATGATGATCATTTTTATCAGGCCATAATCTTGCATGATTTAAAAGAGTATTATAACTTAACAAGTCGGAGAGAGTGATAATGACCCTCTGAAAATTCACCAGCCAGTTGGGTCTGTGACTGTGGAGATTTACTGTCCCGAATAGATTTTTACTAGCCACGGGCTAGCGGGCCAGTGGCTATTTCACAAACTGATCTGAAACTGCTTTCTTAACAATTCTTCACCAATGTTCAGTTCTTGGGTTATCAGCTGGACTCTACATGACACAGCTTCAGATTTGGTTCTTTTTATGGACAAAGACTCCTTAGATTTTCTGTCATATTCAGCAAAGAATATTATTTTCTGATTTTCTAATCTCCTGCTCACCCTGCATTTTCATTCTAATGTGAAATAATATAAAATTTTCAAACCTCAAATTTCCCTGCTGCAATTGAAAATTAATTGCCACCGTGACTGAAAACAAACTACTACCATCAAACACTCATAAAACAAACAGTCATTGCTGCAGCAATGTTTATTAGACATTTATTTCTGAAGCCAAGTAACTATCTGGTAAAACTGTAAGACTGGTACCAAGTACTTTAAATATTAAGATGTATACTATTAGGGAAACACCTTTTTCAAAAATATATTTCCCCCATCCTTTCCCTTGATTGCTGAAGATGGAGATAAGAAACTCAAAAACAATATGGCAAGTCGAATGAAATAGACAAAGGCCTGATGAAAAGATGATACAGTCATGAAAATTCCCCACTGACATTTATGATAACATCTGGATGTCCTACAAGATGAAGATGGGAATCTGATGGCCTGTTACGCTGTTGCAACACAACACCTGTCGATTTTTCATTTCAATGTGGCTAACATGAGATTCACAATTTATATACTTCAAAGTAAACCAGTAGTGAACAGCTTTCTTCCTTCACCATATTGACCATGCTACACAATCACCATCCCAATGTGAGTAGCAGCATTATTGGTGTTAGTTATCTGGACAACGAAGTACATAACACGTCCCAGACATGATAATACACAGGATATACACCCACATACTATGTTGTTAAACAGTCAATTGAGCTTCCATGGTAACTTCATATAAGCCCTCCCATACAATGTTTAATAAAATAAAAGCGTGAGTCAAGTAGGGGTGAAACGGTATACCGCGGTGTTAGTAGAACCATGGTATCTTGCCTTCAGTCCGTAATGCAATCCCAAAAATTCACTTTTCGTACCGGCATTTCCAGCTAGTCATAAAATGACAGTTTTGTTCATTCAAAATAACAAAGATTATGGCTATTTTTTTTCAATGGTTTCACTCTTGTTGTCAATTTCTGCATTATGATCATATCTCATGTACCAAACCGAACCGGACTGAAGGTCTTGCAGTAGCTGTACCACAATATTTACCGTACCAGAATAAGAGCGTACCGTTTCACCCCAAGAGTCAAGCCTCATCACACATGACCATGACAAAAATTTGTTAATGACAGTCTGATTTTCCTCTAATGATTTCGATGATCAACACATGCAGCTGAAAATAGATAGGGTGTGACTTCATGAAGGCAGGGTCTGTCTCTTCAAGATTTAAGTCGACTGTATTGCCTTGGGTGGTACTGGGACATATCTGCTGTATATATACACTGCCAGCATCACAAACGAGGCACCCACTACAAACTGAAGAGACAACTGGAAGTTGAAGAAGTACATGGAAGCGATACAAGATATCACAATGGCTGCCGAGGTGGCGAAACCCTTGAGAATATTGTCAGCATACTTCACCACAACGGCCACAAGCAGACCTCCGAATGATTGGAGGCACACAACAAACCACACCACTCCATCATATCCATGGAAGAATCCTTTTTCTCTAACACTTGATCCGTCCTTGATCAGCATGGTGATGACGCCAATGACGCTGCCTAGAGTGCCCAGCTGGACGTTCCTCAACCAGACAGACTGGTGCGTGCCTTTAAGAATCTTCTCAAAGTACACCCCAGCGAACCCAGACATCAGACATGATATGATGACTGCTATGAGGCCTTTGACGGGATTCTGTTCAGTGGTCACTTTCTCCTTCACGTCCTTTTTGTCGGCAGTGGGCTGCATCTGGACGATTGACACGCCCACAAACAGAATCACCAGTGAGATCCACTGAAGCTTACTCAGCTGTTTCTTCAGCATGAACACAGAAAAGATGGCAGTCGTTAGAATCTTCAGCTGGTAGGTCACCTGCAACAAGAAAGTGCTGTGTGTGTATCGAATAGCCAACAGAATGTACAGTACATAATAGTAGGGTTGGGAATTGGTTAAAATGTCATAATTGATGATTAGTTCATTATAACCGATCAATCATCAAAATAATGGGTTAGCGTCATACATGAAATTTTCCTGGTTATATTCGTTTGCACAAAAACATAAAGAAAAAAAGCATGTAGTTCTTTATTATTTTTTGTTGCAATTTGCACATCTTTAAAGGATGACTAGTATGTTAGGAACATAAATTTCTTGGGGTCTTTAAGATAAATTCAATCATGACTTGGAGTTGAAATGAGCTTGTAGTGCTCCTGAAATGTAACAGACAAAACCAACCTTGTGAAAAATATTGTTAATGCAAAAAGTGTTCCAGAATTGTTTGTGTTCAATTATGAGAAAACTTTTTCGATTGCTTGGTCATTTAGTCAACGCGACTAATCTTCGATTATTTCAATTAATGGGAACAACACTAGAAAATAGCAAGTAAACATTTGTTACACTCATAGTGAGTGAGTGAGTGATTGAGTTTCAATCTAAGTCACATCGGCAGTATATCAGCCAAATTGTGACTTGATCAAGTAATATAATATCAAACAATACATTTCAAACTAAAAGTAAAACCTGTCCACAAAGGACAGTAAACTAACTAGATGATCACAGATATAGATCTAAGACTAGTATGTAAGCATTAACATGTCACTGTTCACAACAATACAATATAAAACTGGGTTATAGATCACCAGGTGCCACAGTCAGGCCACCACACCAAGGAGTTACACTCAGTCATAGCAAAAACATGACAAAATATAGCCATGGAAAACAAACGTAGTCAAATTCAAAACCAGCTGAATTTTCAGTATGTAAGCAACCTGGCAGTGGGTGTATATGACAGTTGTGTCTGCTTTATCATGCGTATCATCAGTGTGGGTGTACTGAATGAAAGAACACAATACAGCTCAGTGAGCTGTTGCTCATGGCCTGGTGTAAGGTGCTGAAACAGATGTAACAAACCAGCCAGACCTGATACACAGAGACCGACAAACACGGAGACTGACAAACACAGAGACCGACAAACACTGAGACAGACAAACACTGAGACCGACAAACACTGAGACTGACAAACACAGAGACCGACAAACACAGAGACCGACAAACACAGAGACCGACAAACACAGAGACCGACAAACACAGAGACCGACAAACACAGAGACCGACAAACACAGAGACCGACAAACACAGAGACCGACAACACAGAGACCAACAAACACAGAGACCGACAACACAGAGACCAACAAACACTGACCTACAAACACAGACAAAACACTGAGACCCAACACACAGACCGACAAACACCGAGACCGACAAACACAGAGACCGACAAACACTGGAGACCACAAACACAGAGACCGACAAACACAGAGACCGACAACACAGAGACTTGCACACTGACAAACACAGAGACCGACAAACACAGAGACCGACAAACACAGAGACCGACAAACACAGAGACCGACAAACACAGAGACCGACAACACAGACACAAACACAGAGACCGACAAACACAGAGACCGACAACACACAGAGACCGACAAACACAGAGACCGACAAACACACTGACAAACACAGGACCGACAAACACAGAGACACAAACACAGAGACCGACAACACACAGACCGACAAACACAGACCACAAACACAGACCGACAACACAGAGACCGACAAACACTGGAGACCGACAAACACAAGAGACCGACAACACAGAGACCGACAAACACAGAGACCGACAAACACAGAGAACACAGAGAGACCAACAAACACAGAGACCGACCGACAAACACAGAGACCGACAAACACAGAGACCGACAAACACAGAGACCAACAACACAGAGACCGACAAACACAGAGACCTACAACACACAGACCGACAACACACAGAGACTTTTATCTGTTGACAAGTTACAGCTTGATACACCAGGCTCTGTATGTGACCTGAACATTTCTAGAATAGTATGTAAGAACTAAGGGTTATAAGAGTAGCAAGTAACAGCCAAGTACATTATCATGATCATATTACACATGAATAACCCATCACCTGCTTGAAGAGAGGGCCCATTTGTGCCACCAACTATCACCATAAATCATAGGAGTGAGTGAGTTTTACGCCACTTTCAGCAATATTTCAGTAATATCATGGCATGGGACACCAGAAAGAGGCTTCACACATTGTACACATGTGGAGAATCAAACTCAGGTCTTCAGCATGATGAGTGAACGCTATCACAGCTCAACTACCCCATTGCCCCTAAATCATAAGTTGCACTGACTCTAGCAAATTCTTGTTGAAGTCACAAATCTTGGTCTACACACTTGAAAATCAACAAGTCTATCTGTTTACAAAATAGGGATTAAACAAAGACAATTACAAGGTTCATTTACCTGAAAGGTTGCAGCATCCAAAATTTGACACTGCCATATACAGCAGATTATTCTGCAGCGTGTATATGAGCGAGGGTACAGACACTTTGAGGCAGTCGAGTGGCTGTTGAATTATGTCCTCGTTGAGACGCTGTAGGAAGCGTCGCAAGTTTCCTTCTTGGTAGAGGATGAGCAGCAAGCATGATGAGAACTTGAGTATCTCAGACAGGATGACAGCTGTGGTTGCCATGAACATGTCTCCATTCCGAGTCCGGACATAGCGCATGACGAGGATGAGCAGAGCATTCTGCAGAGTCAGGCACATTAAACTGAAGTACTTCAACACATCCCCCGATGATGAGACTGTAAATAAGGAATTACACAAGGGTTACCAAGGATGTAATAGCACAGGTCTAAGTTATCAACATACTACAAACATGAAAAAACATGTTTGACGCTTAGTACCCTAAAGATAAATTTGTCGAATTCTGATTGGTCAATAGCCAAAGCACACGAAACTACGTAGACGGATATGGCAGGGTGTACGAACCATTCACCCCGTGAAATCTGTCATGTGACACACTACACTGGTTGTACAAATGACATTGATTTTTATAGATGCAATGTGGCTGCGAAAAATCTGATCGCTTCAAAATTTTAGAGTTGGCGTAGACAATTACTTAATTATGAGTATAAACAGCATAATAACATTGTTAGCATAATTTCTTGTTTGTTTGTGCCAATACAAATACAAAAACAAACAAAATGTTCCTGTATTTCTGTATGTGTAAGAAGCCGGAACAGATATGGCACAGACAAACCACATAATTTAATACTCATAATCAGGGCAAATCTGGGATTTAAACCCAGAACACTGATTTTGCCCAAGGAATGCAACTCTGCACTGTGAATTGCTGTTGATGACGGGGCTAACCCTATCCCTGTTTCTTGTCTTAGGGATGAATGTGTCATATACAGAAGATGAAATAACATGAGGATGGAAAACATACATTCACCATGACTACTTCTTGGTTTTTTTATAATAAAGTGAAAACAAAAATATGAACTGGATTATGATTGATGTATGTGGTTTTTTTCAGTATACTTTCAGTATACTATCAGTATATCATGGAACCCCCTATTATCACAATACTTAATGTTGTCGCTACCGGGATTATGAACGCCTATTGACATTTGGCATTTTACATATATTTTCAGTTGACTGATGTTTAATCTTCATTTCTGTCACAAATGATGTGTAACACAATTGCCACTCGTTCAATACGATTGCGGCAATCCTGATTGGCTCGTTTGACCCGGAAATTGAAGCAACTCTCTATTATAGTGGTATTGCTATTTTGCAATTTCATTAAAGGTCACATGCAACGTAAAACACAACTTTGCAGATTCTGATACCTTTCGGTATGGACTTACGAAAAAAATCATCAAAAATGCAAATTCAACTCAGAAAGTTGAAAAATAATGCGATGAAAAAAACTGCGCGAAATCGTAGTTCAAATGATTCACTAATTTTCCCCTAGCGCTTGGGGGAATTCAAGTGGCTTCAACAGCTGGGCTGCGTTCATAGCACATGCGCAGTGAAATAGGTTCACGCAGCTTGGAAGCGGGTTGTCCGGTGAATACTCAGTGAAGGCTTTAGTGTCAGCTATTATTCTAATGTTTCGTTGATATTTCACAGGCGCAAGCTTTTTATATGTTATGACAGTAGATTACCGATTTAACTGTTTATATAATTTCATTTGTCTATTTCACCACACGTTCTTCTTACCGAGTCACTTTGATACTCAGTTCGATACTTTAAAAAGCAATGTCATTATTTAGCGTTGACAGAATTTCTAACTGTGATATAGATATGTCGTTGTCACAGACAAAACTCAATGTCTGTTTTATTGACACCTATGTGTCTGCCTGCCTGTCTCTGCTAATGACAATATTCAATACACAACTCTGATCACTGACCACATGCAATTTGAACTTAACACCTATCAGGCTATACACCATAAACAAAACGCATTGATTTATGGCCCGAATTCGGTCTCTGTCACATTATGCAATTACACAGACAGGCAGGTGTGATACTTGAACACATGACATGTTATGATGTTTGTTGATTGCAACATGTTACACACAAAAAATGAGCATGTATTTACAAAACCCAACGTCTCTATTTATACACACACAATGAGCCGTGAGGGCATCTGCAAATGAGCCAGCCGTTACACTTGAGTGCACACCCACCGCCTCTGACTGGGTTTGGTATCCCGGCTGCCTCGTTTCTTGGGAAGTAAACCCAAGTACACAATATTGCACTTTTGATTTGCGATTGTATGCTTATAATTTTGTTTATATGTTTTTTTCATAACCAGCAATGTATATTATGTCATGAATAAGTGATAACTGTGTTTTAATTATGTTTGATTTTTTGGTTGCATGTGACCTTTAAACACTACAGCTTAGGCGACACCAAGAATGAATAAATTGTGACACATGTTTTGATTGTTACAAACAAAATAGTGATTTCCAGTTGATTTCTACAAATTATACCATATCTACTCGGTAGTACTGGATGCATATTTGACTTTTATTCGTGTTTATTTGTCTGCTAAACAAGTACAAATAAAAACGACAGAAGAAATAGGTAATTGGGCATTTTCTCTGAGATGAGGGCAGAACACCAAGTCTTGACCAGGTTGCTTCGCTGTTTACTATTCTTAAGGCTCATATGTGTTATCTTCAAGATGAGCATGCCGCCTTACTAGTACAAGGACAGTTCAATCCCAGCACATCCAGATTTTTTCGGGGCCTTACAGAACAATACTAGTGGCTTTTCGCCTAGTGCTTTGGAATCGTTGAGGAGTGCAGCTTAAATCGCCGCTATTACTGGACAGCAGAATATACATCACAATAACTTTCAACACCGACGCAGATTCACCAGAGGTTGTGGTGGTCATGATATTTATTCACAATTTTCGAGTCGTTCCTTTCCCCAGACTCGATCTCACAACACGAGCGTCCAGCTTAGGAACGAAAGCGATGACTAGTTATAGTCGTTAGAGTTACCTCCCTTGGCATGGTGAACTGTTTACATTGTGTTTCAGCATGGGAACAGAATTGATTCTCCAAGCACTGTTATTGACTGGATCCGTGATGGAATTAGGATACCTTTTCCGAACATTCCATCTAAATTTGACTTTAATAATCCTTCCTTGTCAGTAAAAGAGTGTTCATTTATTGATTGCGAGGTAAAAGACTTGCTCTCCAGTGGAGCTATTGAACCATGTACTAACACTGACTTTGTGTCTGCTATTGGTTGTGTACCAAAGAAAAATGGTAAACTTAGACTTTTTCATAATTTGAGGTATCTTAATTCTTTTTGTAGTGTTTCAACTTTTAGAAATGAAGATATCAGAGACGTTGCAGATGTTATTAAACCCAAAGATTACATGGTTACTCTTGACGTAAAAAATGGTTTTCATCATATATTAAACATGACATTCCAATGAAGTAGATAACTTTTCAAGAGCAATGAATTTATTTTACATAATCTGCATATGTAAACAGGGTGTGGTATTTCCGCTTTGCCAATTTTTCACGAGCCGCAACAATAGAAAGCCTACAATAATAGACAGTCCTGGTATACTTTCTACCAACATTGGTGGATCCAAAGAGTGTGAGTGTAGCGTAGCCATTAGGGGGTTCTGACCCCCTTTAAAATGACTAAAGCCCACATTGAAGTTAATTAATTGCAAACCCCCTGAACACCCCCTTAGAAGATTCCTGGATCCGCCTATGTACTAATGTATCCCAAAACGAGCTTAATTTGATGTTCTGGTGATTTCGAAAATTGCATTGCTCGCGCTCTATCGGGGGAGTTTGTGCACAATCGAAGTGCACAAGCAATTTCAGAAAGAGTTCCTTCCGTTTCCCCGGGTGCCAGTCAAATCGCCCCAGCTACAAAACGCCCCAGCCAATTTGGTCAAAATGCCCCAGATTTTTGGTCAAATCGCCCCAGGTTTGGTCAAATTGCCCCAGGGGGTTGTCAAAATGCCCCAATGTATTTAAATTGGTTAAATATATGCCACAAATGCATAGTTGTTGTCAACTTCCATATTATATTCTATATATAATATTATATAGTGATATTTCTGATAAATTTTCTATTGGTAAACTGATAAGACCAAAAGTAATATTCATGTACATAAACAACACTATAATACCAATTATTTGGTAAAGAATTACAAGAGTAAAATGAAAGGTTTGTATAATATGTTTATTGGCTGTAAATAGTTTTTGGTCAACAAATGGCATTATGTAATCTTAACAAGTATGGTATAATATTTATTATTTAAACATATTTATTTCCAAAGAAAGGAACCTGATTGGTAAACAAGCATAAGCTTATATGAATACCGCGCTGGGATACAATGGAAGGAAGAATAAACTCGTCATGATGAATGTACAATGTGAATGATATATAAATGTTGCAAAAACGAGAAATAACGCCTATCATTGTTAAACGGTATATGTCATATAAACAAAATATTTTGGATCAAATCTGCCTGTTAAATTTATAAAAGAGTGCACTGAAATTAAAAGTTCTTTGTTTACTATTGAGGAGCAGCGTTGGTTTCCAAACAAAATTGATTTTAGGTCAAATCCTTTAGTATAAAAATACATAATTTGACGTATATCGTTGTAAAGAGTACATGAAAAGAACTAGTGAGCAGAGTCTTCATAGTTGTGGCCACAAGAGCAAGATGGTGTCGGAGATATAAATCTTTCATACTTGTGCGCATTAAGGTCACTACATTCAAGTTGGAGACGAGAATGTATGATTAGACAAAATCTGCTACCGAAATTTAAGTCAAAATGACTGTAGATATTAGAATCGTTCAAAATTACATTTTTGAATCTCGATAGGTGATGGTCAATTAGTGAATATGTTTTTATAGCCTGAAATGTTCATACATTCGAGCCTCAACATTTCCTTTAACTAAACACAGCATTGAATGACAATTAGTGAACATGTTTTAATAGCCTGTTTATATCCACACTTTTTGACAAGATTAATTAACAAAAGCTCTAGATTGTTTTGATAAGCATTATACCATACTTGTTGAGAAAATCTATGCATTTACGGCCAATAAACATTTTATACAAACATTTCATTTTATTCTTGAAATTCTTTACAAAAGCATTAATAACATGCAAATAATTGGTATTATAGTGTTGTTTATACATAAATATTACTTTTGCTCTATCAGTTTATACTAACAGAAAATCTATCAGAAATATTACTATATAATATTATACGAAGTATATAAAATGGAAGTTGACAAAAACTATGCATTTATGGCATATATTTAATCATTTTAAATACACTGGGGCATTTTGACTACCCCCCTGGGGCAATTTGACCAAACCTGGGGCGATTTGACCAAAAATCTGGGGCATTTTGACCAAATTGGCTGGGGCGTTTTGTAGCTGGGGCGATTTGACCGGCACCCGTTCCCCCAACCCTAAACCTAACTCTAAACCTAACCCTAAACCTAACTCTAAACCTAACCCTAACGTAAATTTTGGACTTTAAGTCATTTTGTGAGTTCTCTAGTAATTGTTGTGTTAAGTTTTGTTAATAATTTTAGTATATTTATAAATATTATTTGGGATGGGGGAACGGGAAGAACTCTTACCCAGCCGCATATTTTAGGCAACCACACTTTGAGAAACAAGTTCAAAGAAATGTTACCAAACTTTGTGTAACCATGGCAACATGTAGATGTTTATAATTAAACATATTTATGCAAGTTGTAATGAAAGCTAAAGATATCTCATGATCAATAATGCTGCAAATACTGTATAGTGGAACTGTGCATTTCTTGAATGACTGTTGTTTACAGTTTATTGATATTATACCCAGCAAACTACGAATCACGTTATACAACTTCATTTTCAGATAGTTTGAAATGTTAAACATTTTATTCCGCAATGTGTGACGTTTCCAAAAGTAAAACGCCCTATTACAATCCATGACGTCCAACATTTACATTTGTATGTAACAAAAAAACAAAAAACAGTTCATGTTATCTTCTGCACACGTGTCATGTGGAACGGAGCATTTACTGTGCAATGTGGCATTTCAAAAATCAATACATAGTCGCAACATCAAACTGTCCAACCACTTGCCACTTGAACAGCTCCAAAAGCAAGCAAAGTTAAGAATGCATTGCTCTAATTCACACAAAATTACAACATGGGAGAAGCCTAACTTTACGAGGCTTGTCATGTTCTGAAATGTTGTAGTTCATAGATGGTCTTTATATTTCTGTAACTTTTCTTACCAGTCTTCGCCATTTTCCCTCCCTCGAGATCACGCGTTTTCTCGTCAACAACTGCAGATGTGGCAGACATCGATATCAGATTTCGTTCACACCTAAACCTGTCGAATGTATCCAGTATATCTCCCCCACTTTATGTGACTGTTGCCACAAGTCTCGTCAGTTTAACCAGCAATGGTACACCCTCGTTCATACAGTCGACTCGATCACAAGAACGTGTGCACGTTTGACATTCCAACACAGAAACGAAGGGGAGTAACCGGTTTCGAAGAACAGTAATACTGGGCTCCTACCCGGATCGGCATAGAATAACGCCATGACAGCGACTGCGCCGTCTAAACATGATGACCAGTATTATTTTTGTCCCGGCGCAAGCAAAACTGGTTTTGCGCCATGCACGCTGCGCAGATGCCTAAAGCTATGACCGTTCGTCAGTATTGTTTGTTACGATCGAGGACTGACTGATAAGTTCGTAGCTGAAAGGGAATTTTACCGATAAAAGCACAACAGGCACACCATGTCTCGTGATTACCTAGCTTGGTCTGAAGCTCACAGGGAAAGGCCCTTAATTGCAATGATTTGTGACCTGAGTTCGAAATAGCTACTGGCCCTCAAGCCAAATGCTAACTGATTGTGAATCGGGCCAGTAATATACATTAAAGCTATCCCGACTGGCTAGCTGAAAATCCCAGATAATTTGTCTTAATTTAATGCACATGAATATGATGAAGTCAGTTATTAAGATGTTAAAAGTCCGTCCGCAAAAGTTTCGTATGACCAGAAATTATTGAGAATTTTAGGAATATGTTTAATAGGATTTCTAGTATAAACAACCTTGACCAGCTATCAAGTGCTTGGTTTCATTCAAGAGAGACAACTCCGTTAATCCCTTTTCATTAAAAAAGAGTTATCCCCCATTGTTTACTTGCTAGCAGACAACATTTTCAGTGATCCTCAGTATGGATGATTTAGAGAAGAGGAAGTTGATTTTAGAGTATTATAACAAGGACATCAGATCAGCTAAAGTGATTTCAAGTAGAACAGGCATCCCTTTGTCCACTGTTTATCGTGTTTTGAAAAATATTGCAAATGGATATGGGCATTGAGCACCAGGGAAGTAGGTAGGCCCAGGAAATTGACTGTCGGTGACAGGAGGAGGCTTGGTATTCTTGTTTCTAAAAACAAACGACTTTAAGGAGTTTAGAAAACCTTAAGGCTGGATATGATTGATAAAGGAACTGTTGCTGTCTGTAAGGAGACAATTAGAACTGAGCTGCATGCAATGGGTTGGCAGAAAAGTCGAGGAATTCCATCACCGATCATGAAACCTGAACAAAAGGAGCGAAGGTTGAACTGGTGCTTACAGCATAGAAATTTTAACTGGGACAATGTGATTTTCTCAGATGAAAGTTCTGTGTCGCTGTTTCCTAATACACTGAAATTCTGGACCAAACAAACTGAAATACCTTTGTATCAGCGCCCAAAGTACAGTCCGAAATTTAACGTGTGGGGTGGCATATCTGTGTTAGGGGCAACGCCCCTCTGTGTATTTGAAGGGAATATGAACAGTCAGCGGTACACATATATTCTCGAGTGACATTTACTTCCATCTGCCCACGTGTTCTATGGAAATGTTTGGATTTTCCAGCAGGACAACGACCCAAAACATCGTTCAAAGCATTCACAGGCCTGGTTTCGTACCCAAAATATGACATTATTAGATTGGCCAAGCTATAGCCCTGTCAATAAGAAAAATCTGACAAATATTGCTGAAATGAAAGAAGAGGTGGTCCGGGACAGCATGGACCACGACCTTCTAACTTCTTTGATCAGTAGTATGCCCCGCCGCATTGAAGCCTGCATTGCTGCCCATGGTGACTTGACAAAATACTAACTGTTCACCTGTCTTTGAATCTGGAGTTATGTTCTGCTAATATTCACATTTAATATGTGAGTAATGAGTGAAAAAAAAAGTACAATCTTAAAATTCTCAATAATTTCTGGTTGTACTGCGTGTGTTATCTCTTGCCATACCAAGATAAAAAAAATGGTTAACAGCGTTGCGCAAAAGAGGTTATGAACCATTACAATACACAAGTAACGTTTAACGTTGCTACGCTAAACAGTGTGCACACTCGTTGTGTTTGTTTGATTTACATTTTTCCAAGGGGCGACAATATATTATAATCTTCAATTACCAAACATCCCACCAATTCTGATCGATGTGCATTTTGATATTGATATACTATCCCCAAAAAGAAACGCATAGGCGTTTTGTATTTTTAAAATCTATCAATTACCAATTGTGTTCAAACAATCGTCAAAATATGTAACAAAAGTGTTGAGTGTTGATAACATGATTTTACACTATTGCACAACTAAAAAATCGACTTTACCTGAAAATGTTGATTTTGATGAGATTTCTTTCAAGAATTAAATATTCATCGCCACAACGCAACAGAAATCACGTTCCAGTTGAGAGTGTGCAGCAAAGAGCATGCACTGTCTGGCTATAAAACTCCAGATTACTTTCGGAAATCGGCATTCGTTTTGAAGGAGTTTCAAGGTCAAATCACTACGCCACGTCTAGACGCTGCCACAGAGGCTTGTAACGCTAAAACTGCCATCAAGGTATATACTGTCACTAACGGGGTCTTAGTACCATATAAAAGGATCCTTTTATATAGTACTAAGACCCCGTTAGAGACAGTATGTACCTTCATGGCAGGTTTTAGCGTTACAAGCCCCTGTGGGCGCTGCGACACGGAACATCGCCATTGAAAGAATGCACGCTGGAGATTACCAATTTTCTGTTGCCAGGCGTCTGAATGTTAGTCTGAGCATGATATCACTGCTTGTAGCTCGTTACAACCAAACAGGTATAACAAATGACCGTGCCCGTACAGGCAGACCTCAATTCACCACTGCAGCCCAAGATCGGTACGTCCGGGTACTACATTTGCGTGATCGTACTGCCATGGGTGAGAGAACAGCAGCCAGGGTGCCTGGACTTCGGAGGATATCCGGTCAAACAGGTTGAGAGAGATTGGACTGAGAGCCAGGAGACCCAACGTCGGGACCACGCTACGTGGTCACCATCGTGCGCAACGTCTCCGTTATCTGAAAGTATCTACTGGGTTGTATATACATTACCGATGTAAAAATTCATGTACTAAAGTCTATTTGTGGACGAGTTATACATGTTTGAAAATACAACATTTTTACAACAGATTTCTTGGTTATGCGTTTCTTTTTCTGAAATAGTATATTTTGCGGAGCCAGTGAAGTATGCTGTGGGCCAGCAACATGTTTACTTAACTGGCCCTCCTGACCAGTGACTTATTTAAAATTAATTCATCCACTGTTTGTGACAATGAATGAAACCTTAGTTCAGGCCAAAAACTATTCCTCATTTAAACACTATACGTGTGTATAGGATAAACAAAAAACAAAAATACAAATATATACAAAGCACACATGTAGATTGCTTTGTTCCTGATTCGGGCATTCCACGGTCGCTACACTGGAGCCCAACTTGGGTCCGAGCAAGTTCATTATAAATTTGTGCAAAATGAATCCCAACCACGCGACGTGCCTTTTGATGGCAACGGGGTAAGTTCTAGGGCAATGGTGCGTCCCACATATCACATTCTTACCTCGTTGATAATGTGGACAAAGTGTTCCGATGTTCAGATGTAGCGGCAATAATATTAAATAGTCGTATATTATAGCTGTGCTAATTTCCACAACATTTGGGTTCGAATCCCATAAACTATGACCATTGGTTGGTCTGCACCTGGGCAAGCTGTACTGGTCATAAGAGGTGGCCAATGGGTCGGGAGGTCAGGTTCATTGACTTGGCTGATAGGGTGTCATCGTGCTCTGCGTGGATCTTTGCTCGTAATATCAATCACTGGATTGTCTGATCCAGACACGAATATTTACGGGACGAGGTCATAGGTTGGAGTATTGTCTATTGCAGGTTTAAACAGCAACGAATCCTGAATAGAAAGTAATAGAAAGTATCAGAGTCAATCAATATTGATATGTTGATAATGCATGTTTTGAGAGTGCATCACCACTTGCATTTCATTATGACCATAGTTGTTTGTACAGTAACCGCTCTTGAAAAATGACTGGTGTATGACGTGAAATTTGCATGTGTATGTATTTGTATTTTCAGTCCAAAAGAAACAAAGTAAAAACGGCTAGAAACAAACACTAACTTGTGATGCGATACACGCACGCACACGCACACGCACGCACACGCACACACACACACACACACATTCCTTTGTCCTGAAAGTTTAGTAATTGACCTTTGAAACCTTCGTGAAAACGAAGTGTGCACCCCCCACCCCATCCCCTTTCTCAAAAAGCTGTATCCGCCCCTGGGCTACTCCGTTCTGCACGTGCATCTTATGCGTTGTGTTAAGGGATGGTGATGTTAAGAGATGTTTGTCTTTGAAAAATTTGTTAACGCTTATACTTCCTATCCAAATTGAAAGTTCAGGTTCCCCTACTTTTTTTGATAGTACATATAACTGATTTCTATATGTAATTCATAATTATAATATCAATAATCTTGGACATAAATATGCTATTGTTGTTAGGTCAAGGGCCTTTTAATGAATTAATGTAGAGACAGAAAGAAACGCTAGATTGTCAGAGTGTTGACAATTTGCTGGAGTCGAATACCTTAGCTGACAGCAGCGTACTTTGGACTCGGCACCTGTCTTTTCCTGCTGTTTAAACTGGGTTCCGTCTCTCAATATCGCTCTGGCGTAAGTTGACTACGCGTAAAGGGCGAGGACCAGCTTACCTGCCGATGCGTGCAGGAAACTAGGGGCAGGTTACTCTAAATGTACATGTCCTCAACTCAAGACGTGGATGCAGCTTGAGGATGATCGTGTTTACAGTGGGCTTGCTGCTCTATGCAGCCTCTGGCCTAATGCTTATGAAAATCTTCAATGAAGTACAAGGAAAACCTTACATGGACGAGATTTTCCATATTCCCCAAGCACAGCAATATTGTCATGGGAATCTATCTGAGGTGCGGCCTTAAAATTAGACTATCGATTCAACAAGGTCTGACATAACACAGAAATTGAGTATAGGAAACTAAGTGAAACGGCGCCCATGAACGCATGACAAAGGCACCAAGAGGAACCAGCGATAACTGTCTATTGGGTCAACTTGATATGAAACATAGAAACACATAGTGACAATAATTTGTCATGTAACAACACTTTATAGTAATTCATAAGAATCACCGATGTATTTCATCATTCTTACAGGTTTACATTGAACTGCCAGGGTGATGTGATCTACTGTGTGCTCATTTCGAGGGTTAAGTCCGTATAATCTGTGTTGGAATTCAGTTTCATTTCAGGACAGTTTTTAAACATGCATTTCCTTTTCGCAAACTGTCTTTTTGTTAGGAACTTTCAAAGATCGGAAACATTGGGGACACCAGCACACGGCATGCAAAATCATTCATGTGATCAAACATGTTATAAACTTTTTTTCTGCCAGGAATTAAGAATCCACACTGTTAAGAGACACCCTGACTGCTGTCTGACAATTACTCCTCTACATGTCAGCATTTCACATTATTTTACTTTTGATGTTTCAAAATCTATGCTTTTAATGTTTTATTCAGATTATGATTCAGGTATGACTACACTTCTAGCTTCCTAATCACTAGACCTTGTGTGTGTTTACCTGGGGTGGTAAACATCTAAAACCTGTATCACTTTCAGCTTTCCACAGAGTAGGACTCGCATTGGAAAGACCTTATTTAATGATTCAGGTATGACTACACTGTGATATAGAGTGTAATGCTGTTCAAAGTGGCATTAAACCCAACTGACACACCATGTCACTCACTCCAACTCACTCACTCACTCCACTGGTTGTGCCTGTTCCAGTGGGACCCAATGATCACCACCCTGCCAGGGCTGTACCTGGTGTCTGCTGGGATGCTGGTCCCCACATCACGGCTGCTGCACCTCCCCCTAGCCAGTGCCTGCTCCACCCTCATTCTGCGGGGGTCAACCTGCTCTTCATGCTGGCTAATGTCTGTGTGTTGTATCTACTGACTGGTGCCATTCTAAGTGGGAAGAAGAAGGTAATTATCATCTATATTTTCTCATGGTTAGCTGTATTACACTGACAGTACAAGTAGCACTTGCTCATAGGGATTCCTGGTTTAGGCTGGTCTTAAGAGACAACTGACTCATGAAGGCCCAGTTTAGAATTGGTCTTCAGCAACCCATGCTTGTCGTAAGAGGCGACAAACGGGATTGGGTGGTCAGGCTCGCTGAATGGTCTGATACATATCATTGTATCCCAATTGCGTAGATCGAGGCTCATGCTGTTGATCACTGGATTGTCTGGTCCAGGCTCGATTATTTACTGACCGACTCCATGTAGCTGGAATATTGTTGAGAGTGGTGTTAAACAATAAACTAACCAACTTACGAAACAACTAAATGGATCGTTGGTCAGGTTGGTGATTCCAGCTTGAGGCTGGTCATGAGAGGTGATTAATGCGTCCCTTACTCATCTTACACAGACCTGCTTAGGGGCCAATATACAGCTGCAAATTTGCAGCAATGTCAGCATAAGTTCAGCTTAATTTCACATAGTGTAAATATAGTTTAAATGCCTTTGCAATTAAGAAAATTGAAAGTGATAATGATTATTTTCAACCTTTTGGACTTGTCTCGTAATTTTTCATGCTGTATAACATTTCTGGTGACATTAAGAGACAAGTCCAAGGAAAGACATTATCTTACCTCATCCTTGGATATTTTTCTTTTCAGAACCAGAGAGTGGACTCACTGTCCCAGACCCTCCAGGCAATATCTCTAGGACTGTACCCCGTCCTCTACTTCTTTACCTTCCTCTACTACACCGACCCCGGATCCGTCCTCTGGGTCCTCCTCATGTACCTCGCCTGCCTCCGCCACGCCCACTTCTCCGCCGCCATCTGCGGTGCCATCGCGGTCATGTTCCGCCAGACCAACATAATCTGGGTAGTCTTCATGGCTGGCATAGCCAGTGAGAAACATGTATTCAAATGGCTTGATGACTGCAAAGAATTGCGAGGAAAGGACAACATAGATAAATATTCTTTGACCATACTTAAACCTCTCTTTAAATGCCTAAGCAAGACCTTGTTTCATGACCAGAAGAAATTATTTAACTTTGTGAAAAATATCTTAAAAACTATTCTCCCTTATATATTTATTGTTTTGGTATTTATCACCTTTGTGTACCTCAACAACGGCATAGTGGTAGGCGACCGAAGTCATCATCAAGCATGTCTCAACTTCCCGCAAGTGTTTTATTTCTTCAGCACATGCTTGGTGTTCAGCTTCATGCATTTCCTATCTAGGTCAAAGATCACTTATGTTTTCAAATTCCTTATCAACCATCATTTTTTAATCAGCATGTTTGTAGTCCTCGCAGCATACTTGATCTCAAATTTCACTTACGTTCATGAATATCTGCTGGCAGACAATCGTCACTACCCTTTTTACGTTTGGTCGAAGATTTACAGACGACATGAACTGGTCAAGTTTTTGCTAATTCCGGTGTATTGTTTTGCCTTGATAGTCTTCAACTGCTCCTTGAGTCACAGGACGATTATATGGAAGATGTGCTTCTGGGTGTGTGTTATTGTGTCTCTTGTTCCGCAGAAACTGCTTGAGTTCAGATATTTCATAATTCCCTTTTATGTTTGGAGGTTGAATATCAATGACCAGCCCCCCTCTAAACTAATTTTAGTTCTCGAGTTACTGTTTTTTCTTTTCATCAATGCAGCAACTATTTACATGTTTTTGTATAAACCATTCCATTGGCCAGATTCTGATGAACTGCAACGCTTTATGTGGTGAGGAACTTGGGGGTAGGAGAGATATGGGGAGGTTCACCAACATTATGGCATAGGGAGGCTCATGTACTAGCTGATGCTAAATCAGGGAGGGTCATGTAATAGCTGATTCAGAATTTGGAGGTCATATAACAGATGATGGAGAATGAATGGGGAGGGTCTTGTAAGAACATATTTATTATTGTGCAGGGTCACTTAATGAGTTATGTAATATCAGGGAGGGTAAAACATAATATTTGGCACATATATGGGAAGATTAAAAACATTTTGTACACTGCTGATGGAAGTGTGTGTATTCTGAATTGAATTGAACTGAATAGCCTTCCCAAGTCTGTCTTTGCCCAATTGAGACAAAACAAAATGTGTTTCCAAGAACCATGAGCATTGTCATGTTGTTGTTAAATAAAGATTACACAAAATATAAGTCTATGTTTCCAGATTTTCATCAATCATGCCTGTAGTATGGTACTTACAGGGGTGTTGTGTGTATCTTGGTGGCAGTCTCAGTTCATGAGGACAATTGATTGAAAAGACCTCATGGAAGGTACCAGTCATCAAGACCTGTTGGGACTCTGAGTTAGTCTTAGTGGTCTCCAGTTACTGTGGTTGTACATGGCTACTTAACGGAGGATCAGGTGGTCAGGCTTGCCGGCAGGGTAGATTTTATGTCTTCTCCTAATTCCTACGTCCCTGGAATATCTAGTGGACGAACACTTTTGGTTTTGTTGGGTTTGTTGTTTAACGCCGCACTGAGCAATATTCCAGCTATATGGCGGCGGTCTGTAAATAATCGAGTCTGGGCTAGACAATCCAGTGATCAACAGCATGAGCATCGATCTACGTAATTGGGATAGGATGACATGTGTCAACCAAGTCAGCGAGCCTGACCTCTTGATCCTGTTAGTCACCTCTTACGACAGGCATGGGTTACTGAAGACCAATTCTAACCGGATCTTCACGGGTCCCACGAACACTTTCTTAGTCAGTAGGTATATGGATGGCTGCAACATAATGCTGAGTACAGCATGTAACAAAGAACGGTTGCTTCAAACTACTGTGAAGAGCCCAGCCCTGATATTTGAATATTTGTAAAAGCAGCAAGGAGACGCCTCGGACGCGTCATATGTAATATGTGTACTCATGTCAATCCATGTACTCCTGTCAATCCATGTACTCATTTCAATCCATGTACTCTTCCAATATCTTCTGGTTATGTTCCATCGTTTGTAAGCGGACGGTGGGGTAGCCTAGTGGTTAAAGCGCTCGCTCGTCAAACTGAAGACCCGGGTTCGATTCCCCACATGGTTGCAATGTCTGAAGCCCATTTCTGGTGTCCCCCGCCATGATATTGCTGGAATATTGCTAAAAGTGGCGTAAAATTAATTCACTCACTCGTTTGTCAGCAACACAGGTTTCGCCTTTACAGCCTGTGCAGACGGGCGCCGTGGGGCAGCCTAGCGGTTAAGCTAAACTAAACTGACTCTCTAATGACTGAGAGGATTTTGGACAGGAATGTTGGACAGATGTTGAAGGTGTGGGGGTAGGGATCGGGTGGAGGGTGGGGACGATACACGTGCAGTTTATGATATGAACAGAACTGGGCATTGATTGGGCAGGCTGTATCTCTCGTGATATTTCTAAAAGCCACAGAAAAACATATTCTGTTTGAGACCGGTGAGCCGGCTGACTTTGTGTCCTAGTGATTAGGCGCCTGACTCGGGGATTGTGAGTTCGGATCCCAGATGCGACTCAGCCCAACAAAAGCACTAGAATCTGTACTTTACTGAGAATGTGGAATCCCAAATATAACATGTAATGTAATGGTAGTCGTTCAAGCGGATGGGTGACAGTATTCGATGGCTTGACTACTGGTAGTCCCTGGGGCTAATGAAATATGTTACCTTTTCCCTATTTCTTTGTGACTTTGCTCGAAATACCCCTCTATTCACCTAGTAGTGAATTGGCAGGATGGAGTGAGTGAGTATAATTTTAGGCCGCTTTTCCCATTATTCCAGCAATATCACTGCGGGGAACACCCGAAATGGGCTTCACACATTGTACCGATATGGGGAATCGAACCCAGGTTTTCAGCGTGACGAGCATACGCTTTAACCACCAGGCTACCCCATCGTCCCAGGTAAGACGAGGTAGCAATAAGACTGTCAGCCTTCTACCTCGACATACAACGGCTTGGTGACTGTCCTTTATATGAGACTAAGAAGAAAATGTGGGTCACAGACTCACACAGATTCACTGACAGGGTTATAAAATGTTCAACAATGCACGTGTACCTGCGGAACTTTACCTGCATAGCACAAAGGTAATCGAGTCTAGCTAACCATGCCCGGTATTCACACCCAGTGCATGCTGTACTTCATACAATGAATGTTTCAAGAATACAGTATAGGTGCCCCGTGTATATGATTGTATGCCCCGTTGAAACTCCACCCAGATGGCCTATACTGACTGTATGCATATGCTGTATATAATAGTAAGTGTTCATTTAATTGTTTGTAAAGGTTCTTAAACAGTAATCCTTAAACACATATTGGTATTTGTGCCGCCCTTATCCCCTTCATATAAAAAGCCATGTGCAAGGCTCCGTATTGGTTAAAGCTGTTCAAATGCACGAAGATCGTGTGCCTGAAAAGAATTTTATGTAAATGTGCTGTAAGGAAGGTGAGGTGAAATTGGGTTTAACGTCGTGCTTGAGAATATTTCTCTCATATGACGACGTGCATGCGTGTGTATGTGTATGTGCGGCTGCTTGTACTAGCCCAGACTGAAGCTGGTTTTATAGTGCTAGCCCACTGAGATACCATGCCGCAGTGAAGCATGAATACCCCACTCAGACACATTATACTGACCCCGAACCGACCAGTCCATGTTGTAACGTCTTTGCCGAGCGACGCGGACCATCAAGGCACCATATTTTAACATCTTTTGGTATGACGCGGACGGGGATCGAATCCGCGACCTTCCGCTCTCCGGGCGGACGCTCTAACCACTACTCCACGAAGGAAGGATAACAATATATGTACGAACAACTTCTTTATTCCAGTGACAGCGACGTGTCAGTTCTGACACCCTTCTCATGCTCGACTGTGGGATCGCTTAGTGAACACGACACAGAGATGACTGAATAAGAGAGTAATCCTCTCGGCAGACCATGTAGCTGCATGGTGATGATTTTCTTTATGGAGAAGCATGAGTGACCCTCCCCTCCTGCATGTCATGTACAAAATTGGTGGACCTATCCCCAACCCCCACATGTGTACAGACAAGATACCCCCTCCCCTAAACCCATCAAACCCCTTCCACACACGCGCGCGCGCACGCACACACACACAGACACACTTGCCATAAATTATGAACGGTCCCTTATTACTCCAACTTTCAAATGCCTCTCACGCAAGTCAAATGTACTCTCATAACTGTGGTTATAAAATAAAACATACATACGGTTATTTGTGATATTCGCACACTGTTTTGGTTGTATATAGATGTTTTCAAGCCGTTGTAGATATACGTTCATTAAGTCAGTTCCTATGAACATGTTCTTTCAATCCTGAAAATGTACCTTGCATAATAGGCTAAGATATCGTTTTTATAGAGTACAAAAGTCCTTTGGAACTAGAAAAAATTTTGTTGATGCAACAGGTAAACAACAGGTAAACAACTTCGCAATGTACTAATCCAATTTAGAATGAGAAGAATGGCTGTATCACAACGTCTATGTGTTTTGTGTAAGTGAGGGAAGGGGGATGAGTATCATTGTGCATTGTTTGTTCGTGTTATAAAACTTCCAGACTGAAATGTACAGTATATATACCAGCCGTATATTTTCATAAGCCAAAAATGTACAAGTTCAAATGCCTTTTATATTCAAACAATGAATCACTATTGAGACTTTTATGTAAATACTGAAGGCACGTGTATGAGGAAAAAGAATAGTTCCACAGTCCATAAATATAATAACAAATGACCGAAAATTGTAGATTATGTAAACATGTATATATTATATGTGGGCCCGTGACCTCCATACCAAATACATTACTTGACTCAAAGCCAATCAGTCAGTTGTCCGTCTCCTTGATGCTGAGCACCTTTTGGTAGGTTAAGGTCGAGGTTCGAACAACGGACCATCCGCTCTCCGGGCGGACGCTCTATCCACTAGACCACGGGTCGTCTCCATGGATACAATCAGCTGCTACAACTCGTAACACGTTTGTACGCATTATATAAGTTTATTGTAACTATTATATACATGTGTGTTGTCAAGTACGTTTCTTGATGTTGTAAATTACATGCCGCAGATTTGGGTGGTGGCAGGGTCGTCACAGAGACGGGTGTCGGCGTTGAACACCAGGCCAGGGGGGCACACCAGGTCAATAGTGCGAGTACCAGCCAGACACATGAAGTATTTACGACAGTCGCCGGAGAACGGTTGATACAAGCCCTCCATGATGTTGCAGGGCTGTGGCGTACACGTCTCCGCGATGCTGCTGAAGGCGGCGTGGTCGGGGCACTCCTCCAGGTAGGCCACGTCGCCAGCCTCATTGCACTCGTAGTAGAGGTTTTCTTTGACTTCGTGACGCAGGACCTTCGGGTTATCAGGAGAACAGATATCTGCAATAGAAGTCATTGTTATACTGCAGCTTAATTCTGTGCGCAGGTGAAACTGAAAATCATGTGCAGAGTACAATCCGGACAACGTTCAATCAAACAGATGCCTTTCTTGTTCAATAAATAGTGCGTCCGTAACTGAAATATTAAATTGTAATTACACTTGTGTATTTGTGATAATTTCCACCAAAGTCACCGTTTTTTTGTGAAACATTTACGGTAACGTAATCCACAGGCCCTCGTGTCTTTGCGAGGATTAAGGGTTTAAAAATATTTACAAAATTTAGATGATCACCGACTCGAAATGCTTCACAGAACAATAAAATCATGACAGATTATACTGTGAAGCATTTCGAGTCGGGATCATCTCCAAAACAATTTGTTTTAAATCTATGATCCTCACAAAGACACGAGGGCCTGTGACGTAATCTGGTCTTACTGTCGAGAAATGAAATTGTTATGAATTTGTTAAGGTGTACACAAAAGCCAAGGTTAGGTTCGGTTAAAACATCTTTGTTGCTGTCGTTTTCCGCATTCATGGAATATTTTGGCGTTGTCGCCCAGTTGCACATACAAGAAATCGGTATACTTCAGTTTCTGTCTATTAATCGGAGTTCTGATGGCTCTTAGGCATTGAGGCTGGTACTGTGTTATAGTTTCATACATAAACTTGACCTGTTATTGTTTCAATTAAACGATTCTAAAGAGTATTTTGTATCAGTTGTAATGACTAACGGCAGTTAAAGCAAATAATATAATAATCTTTCTAAAACATTATCCTTTTTTTTTTCTTTTTTTATTCCCAGAATTATGTTTACAGACTTTACCTCAGTTGTACAGTACAGTACAGGTAGCTTCTTAGTATGCAAGTACAGTGTTTCTTTGTTTCTTCTAAAACATTATCCTGATTAAACCTAGCAATGTCGTGAAATATGGTATTCACTGTAACACAGTTAACTGTGACTGATCAATATAGGAAGAGTGAGTTGAGTTTGACGCCGCACTCAGCAATATTCCAGCTATATGGTGGCGGTCTGTAAATAATCGAGTCTGGACCAGACAATTCAGTGATCAACAGCATGAACTTCGATCTACGCATTTGGGATACGATGTCATGTGACAACCAAGTCAGCGAGCCTGACCACCCGATCCCGTTAGTCGTATCTTACGACAAGCATGGGATACTGAAGATACTTCAACCCGGACCTTCACGGGGCCATCATAAGGAAGAAAGCAACATCATACATATGATACACAGGCTTATCGTCTAGGATCACATCCAGTGTTAAAGTGATAAACACAAACACCCTCTGGTCATTAGATAAGAACGATGGCCTTGGGCAAGGACGGCATCCCATGCGATAACGATTATAATCTGCCAACAGGATAAAACGATTATACGATATAACACTACTCAAACTGTAGATGCTATCTACCCTACGAGGGGCGGTAGGGTAACCAAGTGGTGAAAGCATCACGCCAAAGACCCGGGTTCGATTCCCCACATGGGTACAATGTGTGAAGCCCGGTGCCGTTCCACTAACCGATCTTAGCCCTATGCCAATCGTAAACCCCTAAAATCCCAATCTTAGCGTGACGTTACGATCGGCATACCGTTCCACTAACCAATCTTACCTAAGTCAATCGTAAAGTTAAGATTCAAAGTCTAAGTTGCTCATGACCAACTTAGGATAGCTAAAATCAATCGTAGAGAAACCAAAATGGTGGCTTTCCTATTCTATGTGAAAAATAAGAGCGAGCATTTCACCGTGAGCGTCCCCTAAAGTCCCCATGAAATGAATTTGTATATTTCTGTGATGTAAACAAACACTGCACTGAAGCCTTACAAATGTCAGGCCAGTCTGACCACTGTCGTCATGGGAACACAACCGAGCGAGTCGGTGTAACACATTTGTACAACAATATTGCAACGTCATGGTTAAGAATAGGGACAGCCGTGAAGTGAACAATGTTCTGAAGCAAAAAGATACAAATATGTTTGATTTCACTGCGCATATTTGGTGGGGATTCTAAAGGCAGGCCGCGTGTTATTCAAGACCACTGACAGATTCTACATACGTTATAGCCTCGTCACGCCTTGTTTATTCTGATTGACAAGGTTCAGGCACATATTAAAAGCTCTGACACAATTGACATTTTTAAGTCCAGACTTAAAACCTGTTCTCAGTATATTACTTATAATCTCGGCTGTAAATATTCTCGTGTAAATTATCTGTACACAGCGCTTTGAGCATGCCCAAGGATGTGGAATAGGCGCACTATAAATATGCATTTATTATTATTATTATATTATGCTTGATACCCAGCGTTCTCACGCACTTGCACCTGAAACCAAGGTGCTCACTACCCTAATATTTTGCTCTAGGTTTTTTCTCCACGTTTACACTTGGTTGGAAAAATACCCATGAAGGCCCGGGTTAGAATATTGAACTTCAATAACCCATGCCTGTCGTAAGAGGCCACTAACGGGATCGGGTGGTCAGGCTCGCTGACTTGGTTGACACATGTCATCGGTTCCCAACTGCGCAGATCGATGCGCATGCTGTTGATCACTGGATTGTCTGGTCCAGACTCGATTATTTATAGCTAAGATACATAGCGTTCACTAACATGAACGCTCATGTTAGTGAACGCTATGCATCTTAGCTAGATTATTTACAGACCGCCGCCATATAGCTGGACTATTGCTGAGTGCGGCGTAAATCTAAACTCACTCACTCACTCAGTTGGTTCGTAAACTACTTTCTATCATTTGCTAGACTATGCAAAGGGAGATAACTCGTGCCTCGCATTCCTCTATCTCTCGCACGAAAGAGTCTCGATCTAAGCTTGGATCGGATCGTAAGATCGGGACCGGCTACGATCGGCCTAAGATCGGTTAGTGGAACGGGTGTAACTTTTAGCTAAGACGATTGTAAAATTGGCGTAACTTGCTAAGATTGATCTTAGATAAGATCGGTTAGTGGAACGGCACCCAGGTCCGCCTTCCCACCCCCACACATCGCGGGGCACTCCTCGATAGTGGTCCATTCCGACCAGTCGCTCCACCCACCGGCAACTGAAACAGAAGTAACACTTGTGTGGAACCTTCGGTTGTCTCGTGGTAAAATGGTTTGTTCTACGTATTCTACGTGTTCTACGTGTTCTACGTATTCTACGTATATAAACCAGAAGTGTGCTTCTCACTATATATTAAGCGTGTCTTTCTTCCCCGGAATAACCGCATTTGAGGTTTTTGTTTGCTCTCAGGTTTTACTTTTTGTAAGTAAGACCTCTTCCCAGGTTTTACTTTTTGTAAGCAAGACCTCTTCCCAGGTTTTACTTTTTGTAAGTAAGACCTCTTCCCAGGTTTTATTTTTTCCAAACACTATATGAACATCAACATTCAAATGATATATGAGTGTTTGAAATCAATTGAAAAATATCGTCCAAGATCAATTTCAAAGTGCAAATGTTTTCCCAAGCAGGATTAGAACCGAAATCAGGTTAATAAGCAGACGCTCTACCTCACGGCCACCGAGCCGACGAAGACTTTGGGGTTGAATTATCTATACATTAAATTGATTTTACTTGCGCTTCAGTTATTGTTATGTTAGGGAAAACACTTCCCCTCGGTTTTAGTAGAGAATGTAAAACCGAAAGCCCCTCGGGATTTCCCTCCTCCCTCGGTTTTACATTCTTTACCTAAACCGAGGGGAAGTGTTTTCGCCTATACAGAACCGTACAATATGGGCGCGGTGGGAAAGCTAGCTAAGGCGTCAGGCTAGTGATCCAGCGAGGGTGAGGTGTCGCGATCGAGCCCACCTGTGACCGGGTGTAAAAACCTTGGAGTCAACTTTGTGTGCAGACTCTCTCAGTGTTGTCACAACAGTACACAACCCCGTGCACTTAAATGGACCCACGAATCCGTTGGTATATGACCAGATGATGGCCACAATACGTGCAAACACCTAGTTGCGGTACAGCAACGTGCAGTAAACTTGGACAAAGTACTGTGACCATGTGTCCAAGTCCACCCAGCTGTGAATGGGTACCCCGTTAGGATGGGAAAGCCACAATAACTCGGTGCGCCTAGTGGCTGCAAGAGTTGTATACTCCCCGGGGAGTTGAGATTGAGGTCCAATGATCGAGGGAATAAAATACCACCACCTTGAGCATGTACTAGTTGCGGTGACATGTGCGCTATATAAATATCCTATCCTAATCCTATTTATAGTCCGTTTGGCTCAAAATCGGACCGATGAATTGCAATCTAACTCGAAAACTAATAAACATATAATAATCAATGAAACGCTGATCATAATTAAAACGTCAGACCAACTCTGTGAGGTTTTTGAAGAATTTATATTCTAAAAATAAAAAAGTTGTTTATCAAACTATCATTAAAGTTTTGACACAGTTCACTATTTCTTACGAGGGAGGAGTGCAGAGAGAGGGACAGCCAGGTGTGCGAGAAAGGATGGAGACGCCACAGCACAGGTTAATGAATCAATAACCTGGTGGGCACTTGTGCACGTGCTTCGCTAACACCTGGCTGTCCCTTTCTCTGCACTCCTCTCTCGTAACAAATAGTGAACTGTGTCAAAATTTTAATGATAGTTTGTTAAACAACGTTTTTAATTTTAGGACATAAATTCTGCAAACAAACCAGAGAGTTGGTCTGATGTTTTGATTATTATCAGCGTTTCATTGAGTATTATATGTTTATTAGTTTTCGAGTTACATTGCAATTCATCGGTCCGATTTTGAGCCAAACTGGACTATATTAGTAATAAGTTTGCGGTTCGGTGGAACCTCGTATCATAAGATACCTCCAACATCGACACAACCGTGTATGAGTAAGTGAGATCTGTCTGTCTATCTGGTTCATTTTGGTAATATGGTTGAATGATTGACATACTTGGGCATGGGTGAGTGTTGCACGTCACTGTCTTCGTCTCCGACGTCTCGCCTTCACACTGTCTGCCGCCGTTGCTAGGGGCCGGGTTGTTACACAGGCGGAACCTCTGCTCCGTTTTCTCCCCACCTCCACAAGGTTGAGAGCACGTGTCGGTCGCGTCCCATGCTGAAAAGGTGCTCCACTGGCCGTCTGGACACAAAAACCATATTCATGATCACATATACTGGACTATATATGTAAATATTTATGTCCACCATTTACCAATCTGATCTTCATCAAACACCAGTAATGTCATACATCGTACTCCATAAACAGCAGAGGCGGCGGGGTAGAGGAGTGGTTAAAGCGTTTGGTTAAAGCGTCCGCTCGTCGCGCCAAAGACCCGGGTTCGATTTTCCACATGGGTATCCTTTCTGGTGTCCCCGCCGTGATGTTGCTGGAATATACCTATAAACGGCATAAAACTAAACTCACTCAGTTCACTACAGACCGCCTCCGTGATGTAGTGGAGGAGCGTCCGTCGGAGAAGGAAAGGTCGTGGGTTCGATCCTCTCACTGCGTCATACCAAACTAATACCAAGTACTTGTTGTTTCCCTGCCTGGGTTTTGGCATAGAGGGGGCCAAACGATTCGTTGTCAGTATCCTGTGTTTGATTGGGCTTACGTGTCGTATACCTCTGGGTGAGTGAGTGAGTGAGTGAGTTTAGTTTTACGCCGCACTCAGCCATATTCCAGCTATATGGCGGCGGTCTGTAAATAATCGAGTCTAGACCAGACAATCCAGGGATCAACAGCATGAGCATCGATCTGCGCAATTGGGAACCGATGACATGTGTCAACCAAGTCAGAGAGCAGGACCACCCGATCCCGTTAGTCGCCTCTTACGACAAGCATGGGTTAATGAAGACCAATTCTAAGCCGGATCTTCACGGGTGTATCAGGTTACGACAAGCATGGGTTACTGAAGATCAATTCTAAGCCGGATCTTCACGGGTGTATCAGGTTACGACAAGCATGGGTTACTGAAGATCAATTCTAAGCCGGATCTTCACGGGTATAACCCCTGGACTACTACAGGATGTACTCGAAGCAAGTGACGTATCCTTACACACGTATGGCTAATAGAAAGCATATACTACACTCACGTGTACAGTCTTTGTAGCAGGTGCTGGCGACGCTCCTGTGTGTGAGAAACATGATTTTGTGAGACTCTGTTAATATCTCTACTGAAATCATATTTGGAATATGAGATTGCTTACAAGCCAGTATTACTGGTCATCCTTAACAAGATCTACTTTCAAAAACATCTCGTCCACATCAAAGTTATGTATGTAAGTTGTAACCATTGCAACTTGACACTTATACCCCCTAAAATATTTATAAATGCATACAAATAAACAATTTAAAATTCCTCTAGTATCAGCATCTTGTGCAAAACTGCGCCATGACCAATTGGTTGTATTCAGGCAGTCTTCACACATTAAACTGACACACAGGCGTTAAACTGTCCACAGCGCCGTCAATGACAACACACTCACTCACTCACTCACTCCGCAGTTGACTCACCTGTATTTGCTGCAGCGCTTCCATCCCCACCATCCACAGGACTCGGTGCTGCGCTCCGACTTGGTGCACGGGTACGCACACCTGGGGACAGAATGTCTCCGAGCAGCGTTCATTACACCTAGATTTGCATGTTTTGGAGAAGTTTCGAACGATTTCATACATCTCAGACCTTAGCACCCGTGGGTTTTACAAATACAGTAAACCATGCATGTAACGAACTCGCTTATTACGATCTGACGGATATAACGAAGTACCGTATTGACGCCGGACGTAAAGCAGCTCACTAACAATTACGGTAATTACACCCAGTAAGCGCAAAAGTGCCGGGCCTCTATTAAGCGCCGGGTCTGGAAGTCCGTTAAAAAAATAAGCTTCCGGGCGTATATTAGAGGAAATACGATATGTGTTTGTCCCAGCCCCGTGCTGTTTGTTATACGTAGTTCTGAGTTCATTATATCCGTACTCTACTGTAAGTAGATTTATAATGCACCAAAATCTATGCAGAAAGTGAAATAGAGACAAATTATTACCCTGGTCAACGGATCAGTATGCCCTTGATTTTCAATCTCAGTTTCTAGGGGATTCTACAGCCCTGCTGCCTGTATCGCGCATATAACCTGTGCACCTTTTCTTCATATTTACCTTTGACTTCTAACAGATCAGTTTTCTTATGTTTTAAGTGTCCCATCACTGTTATCTACTAGGGGCGGTGGGGTAGCCTAGTGGTTAAAGCGTTGGCTCGTCACGCCGAAGACCTGGGTTCGAATCCCCACATGGGTACAATGTGTGAAGCCTATTTCTGGTGTCCCCCGCCGTGATGTTGCTGGAATATTGCTAAAAGCGGCGTAAAACCAAACTCAGTCAGTCAGTTATCTACTAATAGTTACCCTGGCACGTGTTCTGTAGATTAGAAAACACAGCGTATTAACCGCGTTGACAGTGTACGATAAATATGTTTTTCTTCCGCCTATTAATATAATTTTCTATAACCAGTCTATTTCAATTTATTATGTAGATTTCTCCGTAATTCATGTCACATGTACGTGTTTGTCAAGGGACTGCGGATGTATTTGTTACTTAATGCCGCACACAGCAATATTCCAGCTATATGGCGGCGGTCTGTAAATAATTGAATCTGAACAGACAATCCAGTGATCAACAGCATGAGCATCGATCTACGCAATTGCGATACGATGTCATGTGTCAACCAGGTCAGCGAGCCTGAACACCCGATCCCGTTAGTCGCATCTTACAAGCATGGGTTGCTGAAGACCACATGTAACCCGGATCTTCACGGGACGGCGGGAGAAGAAAGTCCACTCACCTGTCAGCTGTGGCGGACGTCGCCCACAGCGTGACGCTGACCACTGCAATACACCAGGTACCCTTCATTTTGATACGCACACCTGACCCACAACTCAAACCTTATATAGACACCGAAATTACTTCAGCTAATGAATATGCATGATTATGTCAACACCATTAATGGAAGTTGCTTGTTCATTTAAGCGTGCGAATACTTTGCATAATCAGATAACCGTTGATGCTATTATGTTAATTCCTGCTGACGTTGCGGAAATATATCCGACTACGACATACCCTGTGTTGTAGCTGTGTAAAATGAGTACAACCAGGCCTTTTGTGCTATTCTTGCCATTTTCCGCTAGCGACATCAAACATGGGCTAATTTAATTTTATTAATGAACAGCAAACACTATAACCCCAAAGCTACAGAAACCCTAATTGTCATGTTACAAATATGTTATAATGGGCAAATGTAAGAGACACAGCGCTTTGAGCATGCTTTAGGGTATTACTATTATTATCATTAGCAGTAGAAGCCATCATCATCGTCGTCATCGTACTTATAATCATTGTAATAATCCTTTAATTTACATTAGAACACACATCTACATTTTTACTAAAAAACAACATCTGTTGTAATGGTTCAAAAAAAGAAGCATATTAAATGTGCCGTCAGCAGTATTTCGGCTTCCCTTATATAGGCTGGCAGGGCAATCCGATTAAAACAAACATGAAATTTGCATTTACTTGTAGGCAATGCTTGGATTTGCACATAATTTATATCCGAAATGACAACCTCGGAATTGTTTCCAAAACTGATTAAATATAAGTTAGAGGAGTTGGAGAGGCTTACGAATATTTTATAGCAGCATCACAATGGTTAAACTAGATGAGGAGGTAAAATATGTAAATTTAGACAGTGTGGTATTAATTTCCACTTGCCTAAAACAAAAAACAGCGCATTTACTTTAAGAAATGTTTTCTTCGTTATTTCTTTGAACTTCCATTAAATTTATAGATATGCAGTTGAACCGAGCAGCTTGAATACTTCGAGTTATCCGAGGTACGATGAAAAGATGACGAAATAAGGATTAAACGCAGGGTCTGTTGGGGTCGTCCCACCTGTTTGGTCTGCACATCAAACAAACCGGACAGGTGGGACTGACCCCGGTCGGGGTTTAACGTTGAGCAACCAACAAACCCCTAAACAAAAGATTGTGTACATTTGTCCCGTCTACTAGATTGTGTACATTTGTCCCGTCTACTAGATTGTGTACATTTGTCCTGTCAAGATTGTGTGCATTTGTCCCGTCTACAAGATTGTGTACATTTGTCCCTAAAGTCTACTAAGATTGTGTACATTTGTCCTGTCTACAAGATTGTGTAGATTGTGTACATTTGTCCTTGTCCTGTGCACATTTGTACAAGATTGTCTGCACACATTTGTCCTGTCTACAAGATTGTGTACATTTGTCCTGTTTTTACAAGATTGTGTACATTTGTCCTGTCTACAAGATTGTGTACATTTGTCCTGTACAAGATTGTGTACATTTGTCCTGCTTTACAAGATTGTGTACATTGTGTACATTTGTCCTGTCTACTAGATTGTGTACATTTGTCCTGTCTACAAGATTGTGTACATTTGTCCTGTTACATTTGTCCCGTCCACAAGATTGTGTACATTTGTCCTGTCTACAAGATTGTGTACATTTGTTACAAGATTGTGCACATTTGTCCTGTTTACAAGATTGTGTACATTTGTCCCGTCTACAAGATTGTGTACATTTGTCCTGTTACAAGATTGTGTACATTTGTCCCGTTTACAAGATTGTGTACATTTGTCCCGTTTACAAGATTGTGTACATTTGTCCCGTCTACAAGATTGTGTACATTTGTCCTGTCTACAAGATTGTGTTGTGTACATTTGTCCTGATTGTCTTGTCCTGTCTACAAGATTGTGCATACATTTGTCCCATGTTTACAAGATTGTGCACATTTGTCCTGTTTACAAGATTGTGCATTTGTCCAAGATTTACAAGATTGTGTACATTTGTCCTGTCTACATTTGTCCTGTTTACAAGATTGTGTACATTTGTCCCGTCTACTAGATTGTGTACATTTGTCCCGTTTACAAGATTGTGCACATTTCTCCCGTCTACTAGATTGAGTACATTTGTCCAGTTTACAAGATTGTGCACATTTGTCCCGCTTACAAGATTGTCCACACTTGTCCCGTCTACAAGATTGTGAACATTTGTCCCGTTTACAAGATTGTGTACATATATCCCGTTTACAAGATTGTGCACATTTGTCCCATTTACAAGATTGTGTACATTTGTCCCGTTTACAAGATTGTGCACACTTGTCCTGTCTAAAGAACATTTGTCCTGCTTTTACAAGATTGTGTACATTTGTCCTGTGTTTTGTCCTGTCTACAAGATTGTGTACATTTGTCCTGTTTACAAGATTGTGTACATTTTTCCTGCTTACTAGATTCTGTCTCCTAGATTGTGTACATTTGTCCCGTCTACAAGATTGTGCACATTTGTCCCGTCTACAAGACTGTGTACATTTGTCCCGTCTACAAAATTGTGAACATTTGTCCCGTTTACAAGATTGTGTACATATATCCCGTTTACAAGATTGTGCACATTTGTCCCGTTTACAAGATTGTGTACATTTGTCCCGTCTACAAGATTGTGTACATTTGTCCCGTTTACAAGATTGTGTACATATATCCCGTTTAGAAAGTCTGTGTATATTTGTCCCGTCTACAAGACTGTGTACATTTGTCCCGTCTACAAAATTGTGAACATTTGTCCCGTTTACAAGATTGTGTACATATATCCCGTTTACAAGATTGTGCACATTTGTCCCGTTTACAAGATTGTGTACATTTGTCCCGTCTATTAGATTGTGTACATTTGTCCTGTTTTCAAGATTGTGTACATTTGTCCTGTTTTCAAGATTGTGTACATTTTTCCCGTCGACTAGATTGTGTACATTTGTCCCGTCTACAAGATTGTGCACATTTGTCCCGTTTACAAGATTGTGTACACATTTGTCCCGTCTACTAGATTGTGTACATTTGTCCCGTTTACAAGATTGTGTACATTTGTCTCTGTTTACAAGATTACAAGATTGTGTACATTTGTCCCAAGTCTACTAGATTGTGCTTACATTTGTTTGTCCTGTCTACAAGATTGTGCACATTTGTCCCGTTTACAAGATTGTGCACATTTGTCCCGTCTACTAGATTGAGTACATTTGTCCCGTTTACAAGATTGTGCACATTTGTCCCGTTTACAAGATTGTGCACACTTGTCCCGTCTACTAGATTGTGAACATTTGTCCCGTTTACAAGATTGTGTACATATATCCCGTTTACAAGATTGTGCACATTTGTCCCGTTTACAAGATTGTGTACATTTGTCCCGTTTACAAGATTGTGCACACTTGTCCCGTCTACAAGATTGTGTACATTTGTCCCGTTTACAAGACTGTGTACATTTGTCCCGTCTACAAAATTGTGCACACTTGTCCCGTCTACTAGATTGTGTACATATGTCCCGTTTACAAGACTGTGTACATTTGTCCCGTCTACAAGACTGTGTACATTTGTCCCGTTTACAAGATTGTGTACATTTGTCCCGTTTACAAGATTGTGTACATATATCCCGTTTACAAGTCTGTGTACATTTGTCCCGTCTACAAGACTGTGTACATTTGTCCCGTCTACAAAATTGTGCACATTTGTCCCGTTTACAAGATTGTGTACATATATCCCGTTTACAAGATTGTGCACATTTGTCCCGTTTACAAGATTGTGTACATTTGTCCCGTTTACAAGATTGTGTACATTTGTCCCGTCTACTAGATTGTGTACATTTGTCCCGTCTACAAGATTGTGTACATTTGTCCCGTTTACAAGATTGTGCACATTTGTCCCGTCTACTAGATTGTGTACATTTGTCCCCTTTACAAGATTGTGTACATTTGTCTCGTTTACAAGATTGTGTACATTTTTCCCGTCTACTAGATTGTGTACATTTGTCCCGTCTACAAGATTGTGTACATTTTTCCCGTTTACAAGATTGTGCACATTTGTCCCGTTTACAAGATTGTGTACATTTGTCCCGTTTACAAGATTGTGCACACTTGTCCCGTCTACAAGATTGTGAACATTTGTCCCGTTTACAAGATTGTGTACATATATCCCGTTTACAAGATTGTGCACATTTGTCCCGTTTACAAGATTGTGTACATTTGTCCCGTTTACAAGATTGTGCACACTTGTCCCGTCTACAAGATTGTGTACATTTGTCCCGTTTACAAGATTGTGTAAATATATCCCGTTTACAAGTCTGTGTACATTTGTCCCGTCTACAAGACTGTGTACATTTGTCCCGTCTACAAAATTGTGCACACTTGTCCCGTCTACTAGATTGTGTACATATGTCCCGTTTACAAGACTGTGTACATTTGTCCCGTCTACAAGACTGTGTACATTTGTCCCGTTTACAAGATTGTGTACATTTGTCCCGTTTACAAGATTGTGTACATTTGTCCCGTCTACAAGATTGTGTACATTTGTCCCGTCTAGTAGATTGTGTACATTTGTCCTGTTTTCAAGATTGTGTACATTTGTCCCGTTTACAAGATTGTGTACATTTGTCCTGTTTTCAAGATTGTGTACATTTGTCCCGTTTATGTGGGAAAAGACGTCCATTTGTCCCGTTTATGTGGGAAAAGACGTCAACATTGTGATGTACCCATCCTCAAAGAACTGCTGTTGTCTTAAAAGCGTATGGACTTAAGTAAATGTGCATAAATGATCGTTCAAATGTACTCACGTGAAGATCCGGGTTAGAATATTGATCTTAGTTAGTACATTTGTCCCGTTTACAAGATTGTGCACATTTGTCCTGTTTTCAAGATTGTGTACATTTGTCCCGTTTACAAGATTGTGTACATTTGTCCTGTTTTCAAGATTGTGTACATTTGTCCCGTTTACAAGATTGTGTACATTTGTCCCGTCTACTAGATTGTGTAAATTTGTCCCGTTTACTAAATTGCATACATTTGTACCGTTTACTAGATTGTGT